TTATAAGTATAATACATGGATATTGCACCCGTGCGAAGCAGTGGCAGGTCGCTAGTTCATAACATATTATTAGCCCGTAGGTAATAGGCAGGTATGGAATAAAATTTGGTGTCGTCTTCATTTTCTTCCCTGCATACCAAATGACTGTGGCGACTGTACCTTCAATATATATGTCTGTCATAGGAGATAATAGGCGTCATATTATTATTTATACAGTAAACTCTGATCTATCGTCTTCTAAGAAAAACTTCATTGAAATTTGACTAAATTAGAAACTTTATCCTTTTATATAATCCTGCTACTAATTGACCACCAACGTAGAATATCTATAAAGCGATCTCTTCGAAATTCAAATGAATTACATTTATATTAATACTAAGATAAAACTAGATCGATATAGATAAAAGTGTTATCTATATTTTTATATTATCTTTATCTCCAAACGATTTTGAATAGATAACACTGAATTTTGAGGGAAAAAAAACTTGAATGCACTTATTTATTGATGCGATTATTAAGCGATGTTTTCTATACATTTAAATGTTTATATATAGAAGTGACGTATATTTAAAAGTTCTAAACGGCTAAACTGTATTTGAACTGTCAAACACCAAGCGGTCACCGGTAACCGCAACCTATTGTTCTATAATTGTGTCTACAAAACCGGTACTCGACGAGTTAATGAAGTTTTACTTAACTTGCTACCTGTTTGAAAAAAGGACTGCACTATTAATGCAGTGACTAGACAACTAGTTGTCGCAGGTTCTATTTATTACACAGAACAACAATATTATTGTGATTCATTAAAACAGATCATTATTATTATTCATTAAATTGTTGTTACAGTCCATGTCAATTAATATATATTTATGAAAATTTGTGTTTTACTTCAACAACACAACACAAAAGAAAATATAGGGTGGGTTGACCTCTCCGGACCTATTTAATATCTACATGAATGACTTGATTGAGGAGCTGAATGGGACTGCGGTGGGGCTTAGGCTTGGAGACAGGTATGTCAACAACCTGAGCTATGCTGACGATATGGTCCTACTCAGCCCCTCAATTAAAGGTATAAGGAAACTGATGACAATTTGTGAGAGATACGCTAGAGAACATAACTTGGTGTATAATGCAAGGAAGACAGAACTGTTAGTATTTAGGGCAGGAAAAGGTCCACAAAACGTCCCACCAGTATGGATAGGAGGTCAGCGAGTCAAAGTAGTAGAGAGGTTTAAGTACCTTGGCCATGTACTGACGTCAGACTTCAAAGACGATGCCGACATAGATAGGCAACGCAGAGCGCTGTCAGTAGTGGGCAATATGATAGCCAGGAGATTTTTTAAAGCTGACACTCAGACGAAGGTACATCTATTTAGGACATATTGTCAGAGTTTTTACACGTGCCAACTCTGGACGCGCTACACGAAGAGGTCTCTGGATGGTATTCGTGTCCAGTACAATAACATCTTTAGGCAGCTAATGGGGCTGGAGCCGCACTGTAGTGCGTCAACTATGTTTGCAGAAGCTAGGCTGGATACGTTTAATGCCATCCAGAGAAAACGAATCGCCGGATTCATGTCAAGGGTTGGTTCGTGTACAAACAGTATTATCAAAGACTTTTCTGAAAGACTGTATACTACCACAATGTACAAAAAATGGTTACAGATTGCAGCGTAATATTTGTTTTTGTATTTTTTTAGTTTATTTTGTGTTTTT